CGTGACACTGAAGACTGGAGTAATGATGCTAAAAATTCATCTTTGCCATGATGTTTAAAAAAACTTTAGAATTGATTAAAACAGAGAGCAGTTATTTTAAATTGTACTGATATTTCACAATTATATTGTTTTTACTGTATTTTGGTAAAAAAAAAAAAAAATGCAGCCTTGGTGAGCATAAGTGACTCCTTTCCCAAACATTAAAAAAAATCTTTTCAATCCTAAATTAATAAGTGTGGGTTAACATTTTGTTACCAGTTAAATCATTTTTATCCCTTGGCCATAAGGAAAAAAAACGAAGGAAATTAGGTAAAATACAGTAATAAATCTGCAAATGTTCTCATTTCACCAGCCATTGTCATGTGATGCAGAAAGTTAATTTTGGACCCTTTAAAATAATCTTTCGAACCTTTGGTACGTGTGGGTTGAACTCCACAGCTCTGTGTATGGCCTCCACTGCGTTCATCTCTGCTGTGCTGAGACCTCGTCTAGACGCTGCTTCAGGTGAAAACCTGCCATACGACACACATACAGATTCATTCAACAAAGATAATCCATAAACATCACCTATGCTATGATACCGTAATATACTATTCAATACTGGACTTACTTATCTGACACTGCTCTGGCTTTCAGTAAGGCAGATGTGTAGCATATAGTAGCTGATTTTGGCAAGCTGATATCTGAGGGGGGAAACATGACATGGGAGAAATGATACTGGCATCACTTCCTGGTCCTGTCTGAAATGTAATGTAACATGACAGCTGAATGAACTTACCGTCATATTTTGCGAGGACTGCTTGTACATCAGCATAGGCCTGCAGCTCTAATAATGCTTCTAAAAGGTTCTCATGAATATTTAACATTCCCAATAAGGGGAATTCTTTCATTAACTGTACAAAGAAACAAGAAAATAACAATATTACACAATAGAGCATAATTAAGTACAAGATGCCACTTACAAAATAAAACAAATCTGCCCAGTCCAGTGACGTTAGTATGTTACATTTCAATTAAAGGCTGAGCTGCAATGTATTCTTGTATCAGAAATTACTCTCTGATGATCACATAATATATTCTAGAATTACATGGATGGCATCTTACATTGAGGATTTATTTTATAAACTATAAAATCAACATTTTAGGCAAAAAAATAAATAAAAATGAAATGCTATAAGACATCAGATTTTTACATTTTAAAATCTACTGTTGTTTCTCTTTCAGTTAATATTTATTAATGGAGCAGAATTGTAACGAAAATGTTAAGGTATGTAAATTTGCCCTGAGAATATTCTACAGATGTGGAGTGACAACATGTTTTGGAGTTGTGTGACCAGAGTTTTAAAAATTTTTGTAAAATTGAACAGAGAAAGCTTGAATCAATTTTATACCTGCTCTAAAGTTACAGGAATGCTCAATCATGTTGTGGAAAGCCACAGAAAATCATTTAGACTCATTTGTTGGGCCAAAAAGAAGAAATCTAAATCTAATTTACTGTAAAACAATTTCTATAAAAGTCAATGTGGCAAGTCATAAGCCCCATCAGATAATCATTACAAAACACACTTTTTACAGCCACAACAACTAAACTTTGTAAGTGGTACATTGCTTCGCTCACATCTCTCATCATCTTTACAGCTTCTTTGATGCGACCCAGTTTTCTAGCACACATGGCCAGTCTGCGCTTGATGTAGACCACAAGATTGGTGTCTTTGCCGGCTGTGAAAGCAACGAGAATGATCGACAGTGTGAGTCACTGTATGCTGAGCATATATGTGTGACAGTGTGAAAGTTTCATACCATTTTTAAGCGCTTGTTTGAAAAGCCGTTCAGCCTCTGTGATGGTTGTGGCTTCC